CCGCGTACAACATGGTTCATGGGCTCGCTCAAAATCGCCGATCGCAAAAACCCATGCATTATCACATGGACAAACTACTGTAGCAATACGACAGCTCGCTCGAAATCGCCATTCATGCGCGCATAGAATCCCGCACCGACACCGGCAGCACAAATAACGACAACACCGTCTCGACATTAGAGAGTCAGGCAACATTGAACCACTTCCAATAACGATGTCATGCGCGATGTACATAGTACGACGCACCCTGAGGGAAAGATGGCGAATGAATTGCCACATGGTGGCCTTTGTCACGTCAACATTGTGAGTGAAAACGACGACATTGCTTTTGAGACACTCGTGTCGCTCAAGTCGCACCGCTTTGACCCGAATCAACAGGGTGGTTTGACGGTTCAGTTGTGGATCTTCACGATGAATGTATTCATTGACGCTAACGACCAAGTCCTAAATTATCACGACTAAAGACCCTGATTGCCCTGATTATCCTGATTTCAGGATAAAGCTGGGGGTACAGCGTTATGATCCTGCATAGGACCTTGCCAGGATCACCTGAGGTTGTTTGCACGGAGATAATGCAGTGTTAGTAGTTGACCTCATTTCATAGTGAATAAGAAATGATTGATGTCATTATACTAGATGCACACGTGAGTTTATATAGGAAATACAGGGAATACGAAAGGACCTAGACTAGCCATGAAATATAAGGGGTACATTCCCTACGATCACGATACCTACCGCAAGGAGATCGACCCGGCTTGGAAAGACCCTGATGCAAAAGACGAGTTGAGCGTCAAAGAAGAACGAGACAAAGTTAAGGCAGAGAAGAAGCAGAAACTATACGAGGAACGCGTAGTGGCAGGATGGGACGAGGAGTCACCACGACGAGGCGCCTGGGGTGACGACGACTATGTACCTGACGAAGGCGCAACCTGGGGATCCGCCACTGGAGCTTGGGGAGCCAGCGCCAGCGGTATGGTTACCATGGGAGGATGGGGGAGCACCGAAACCGAGGAAGGAGATCTCACGCAAGAAGAAGCCGAACAGGAGATGAAAGCTGAGCGAGGCGAACAGTCTCCGCGAGTCACTATTCCACTCGGACGACCCCCGCGCACTCGCGAAATCCCTCGCTCACCTTACCGTTGGAATGATCCCTGGTCGGAGATTGAGGAGGGGAATGTTCCGCCAACTCCTCCGCGTGACTCACTTGGTCCAATCTCGCGCCCAGATCCATTCGCCCGCTTCATCGAAGGCACAACGATTCCACTCAACATAATCCCCGACCGCGAATTTCTCGCCCTCTACCTCACGATGGCACCTGCAGAAGGGGAGGCAGCAACGGAAGCAGAAATAGAAGAGCCGGACAACGAAGCAGAACCAAGAGAAGAGGAAGAGCCCCCACTCCAGACTCTGCAAGAATCGGAAGCGGAAGCAGCACCACATCACTCTCGCTACATGCGCACCAGCGGCATTCATGCTAAAGACGATCTCTGGCATTAGAGGCTCGGACACCCCTCACGCCAGACCCTTACCAACTGTCTTCGCGCCAAGGTTTTTCTCCCAGGAGCACTGCTGCACCCTGATGGCACGGAACCACACAACACCCCACATCTCGTCACCTGCACCGTCTGCCCCACAGCCGCTCTCTCACACAGCGCCTACCCCTCTCTGGAACCAAGTACCGATCGCTACAAGAAGCTAGAGAAAGTATTCAGCAACTTCATCGTGCTCACCTTTGACGGCATCAACGGCGAGAAATACACCCTCACCTTCATCGACGCCTACGCACGTCACGTATGGATTGCCAACGTCGACGCCCGCTCCAAGGCTCCAGAAGTCTTCCGCATCTGGCTTGCACACGCGCAACGGCAATCCGGGAGGAAGCTGAAGATCTGGCAGAGCAACGGGGCCAATGAATTTTGCAGCAACGAATTGGAGAGCGTTCTCACCGAGAAGGGAATCAAGCATGAAAGCTCTCTCCCCTACGCTCACCAGGACCAAGGTGTTGCAGAGAGGGTTAACCTCACCCTCATGACAAAAGTGCGCGCCCTCATGAACCAGTCCGGCCTACCCAAGAAGTTTTGGGCCTACGCCATGAACCACGCGGTGCGCCTGCACAATCTTCTCTCTACCACCGCCAGCAGAGACAATCTTTCCCCCCACATGAAGTGGACCGGCTCAAGGGGAGATCCCTCCATGCTCAAGGTTTGGGGGTGCATGGTCCAGTATCGACCGACCTCAACCACAATCGGCAAGTTTGTTCATCGCGCACGCTGGGAAATTCACTTGAGCCTCAGCAATGAGCACAAAGGCTGGCTCATTCTCGACATCGGCAGCAAGGAGGTTGTTCCCGCGCGCGATGGTTTTTTCTATGAGCGACTTACCTTGAAACAATGGATCGAGGACGAACGTCGCAACGAAGCTCGCGGCTACGTCAACAGCGGTCGCAGCTTTGCATCTCTAGAAGATGAAGCAGCAGCAGCAGCACTCGACCGCGGCGACAGCGATGAACATCCCGGCGTTCCCCCTTGCCCTCGCACGGACAATGACTACGACGACAGCGATGACGCGCCCGCGCCTGGACCATCCCACCGCCGAGCTGAACCAAGCACATCTTCACCCGGCCACGAGAGCGACGATGACGACGTTGTGGGGGTTCCCATCACTGACACCATAGACACCACTAATGTGTCCAGCCTACAGCTTCTCGGCCTGCATACGTCCGTCACTACTCTCGCACGCGCTGTCGAGCCCAAGAATCCTCGCCAGGCCCTAACCGGCCCTCACGCCAAGGAGTGGCGTGCCGCCATGGATGCGGAACTGAAGGCGCTGGAATCTCGAGACACATGGGTCCTAGTCGATCGTGCAACAGTGAAGGGAAGGAGGGTGCTAAGCGGCAAATAGGTATTTCGTCTAAAAACTAACACGGACGGCACCATCCAGCGTTTCAAAGCACGCTGGGTTGTACACGGGTACGATCAGCGCCACGAAATCGACTTCGATCAAACCTTTGCTCCCGTCAGCCCTCACACCTCAGTCAGAATTCTACTCGCCATTGCCGCCGCTAAGCATCTACCATTGCGACACATCGACGTGAAGAACGCGTTCTTATACGCGTTAGTGGACGCAACCATCTTCGTGGAACAGCCACACACCTATGGGGAAGGAGACTCCAGGGCCTGCCAACTGAAGAAATCCCTCTATGGGATAAAGCAAGCGCCGCGTCTCTGGCAGTAGCATCTGCACAAAATTCGCCTGGAGATCAGCTTCAGGCAGCTACCACACGACCCGGGAATGTAGCGCCTTCACTTCAGCGGCGACTACATTCTCCTGACAGTCTACGTCGACGACCTGCTGTACACAAGCACCTGCAACAAACTCCTTAACCAGTTTGAGGAGAACCTGGCGCAGCGTGTTGACATCTCCATAAACCACAACGTAAAGCAGTTTTTGGGGCTGAACATCACTAACGCGCCAGAAGCAATTCATCTGTCAGCCTCCAAGTACGCAGAGCAGCTGGGGGAACGCTTCAATATTTCATCTGCACCACTCTCAACTCCTTACTGCAACGCCAGTGCCAACTACAAACCGGACAACAAACCTCTGTCCCCCGCAGGACTCCAAATGTACCAGCAGAAATTGGGGTGCCTGCTCTTCGCCTCTGTCACCTGCCGACCCGACCTTTCGTACACCGCCAGCCAACTGACACAATTCTCCCGCACGCCAGTAGTCGAGAACCAACTGGATCTGGAACACACCCTGTAGTACTTCATTTTCACACCTGACATCGGGCTCTCCTACTCCACGCTGACGGCGACATCCTTCAACCTCAACGGCTACGTGGACGCGGATCACGCCGCTGATCTTGCGAATCGACGGTCCCGAACCGGCTTCGTTTTTCGCCCAGAACCAACTGGGCCAATCTCCTGGAACTCACAAAAACAGGAACTGGTTCCCTAGTCATCGGCTGAAGCAGAATACATCGCCGCGACAGCAGCAGTTTGCGAAGGTCTGTACCTGTAGGAGTTGTCAAACATTTATGATATAGCCTGTCTAGGGTGTAGTGGGGTAGTCACTATAGGGTACAGTTTCCTAGGGTTTCATATTTGTACCCAACACTTTCCTAGTTCATTCATTTTTCCTCATTTCTTCACATGGTATAGAGCGGGTTCCCTAGTGGGACTGTTTTTTTTTTCCTAGGGCCCACCATTTTGACTTTTATTTCTGCCCTGCCCGAAGCGCGTTTCGCGCTCTGCCCTGCTGCCGCTGTTGCGGCCCTGCCCTCTCACTCTTTCGCGGCCCCTTATTAGCATGCCCTGCTACTGCAGCCCGTCGCGGCCCTTCGCGGCCCCGCCCCAGCCCCTTTGCGGCCCCTTTGTGGCCCTGCCCCGGCCCCGTTGCGGCCCCTTCACGGCCCCTTTGCAGCCCTGCCTCGGCCCCGTCGTGGCCCCTTTGCGGCTCCTTCGCAGCCTCGCACCGGCCCCGCCCCGTCGCCTGTCACGGCCCCGTCCCCCGTCGCGGCCCGCCCTGCCTTCGACGCGGCCCTCCTCGGCCCCGGGCGTCGGCCCGCCGGCGCGGGCCTCCGCGGCTCTGCCGCCCCTTCGTTGCGGCCCCACCCTGCCCCTCCCTCCGTCGCGGCCTCCACCTATAGCAGCCGCCGAGGCGAGCCCTGCTGTAGCTGCTGTACCTGCTGCCGCCGCCGAACCTGCAGCCGCCGGTATGACAAGCCGCCGCCGCCGCTGCCGTCGCTGCTGCCCCGGCCCTGCCCTGCAACCGAGCCGCGGCCCTGCCCTGCCGCCCAGTTGCGGCCCCGACCCTGCCGGCACACCACAGCCCTGCCCCACCAGTCGCGACCACCCTCCCGGCCCGCCCCTGGTAAGCGCATCGCCGAGCCGCGCCGCCTTATCGAGCCGCGCCGCCCTGCCATACCGCGCCGCCCTGCCGAGCCGCGCCGTTTAGCCAAGTCGCGCTGCTGCTGCTGCTAACCTACTGCTGCTATTGTCATGGCTAGTCCTAATGTTCTTACCTTTGATGCTGAGGGTCGAGCGGTCGATTTTGAGGTCTGGGTCGATGATCTGCAGCTTTTCCTGCAGTGTGATAGCAAGGACGGTATCTCACTATTTGATCTCACGTTTGGCGCCTCTGCTGCCCCTGCTGCCGATGCTGACAGTACTGTTCGCTCACAGTGGACCACCCGCGATGCTGCTGCCCGCCTTGCTATGCATAGTCACCTGCCGTCCACTGAGCGCGCGCACTTTAGTCAGTACAAGAGTGCTAAGACCCTGTACAACGCTGTAGTTGCACGCTACTCCTCCCCTACCACTGCTGCCCTCAGCCGCCTCATGCTGCCGTACCTGTTCCCTGACCTCACCGCCTTTGACATAGTCGCTGACCTCATTACGCACCTCCGCACTAGTGACACCCGCTACCGCGCAGCGCTTCTTGCTGAGTTCTGCGCCAAGAACCCCCCCCCCCCCCCCAATGTACATCACCCTCTACTACCTAGTCACACGGCTCCCTGACACCCTTCGCCCGGTCTGGGACCACTTCCTCTCTCTTTGCCCCACCACACTCACCATTGACCTCCTCGAGGAGCGCCTCCTTGCAGCCGAGAAGAGTATCACCGCTGTAGGAGCCTCTTGTGGTGACCCTCGTACCCCGTTCTTTGAGGGGTGCTCCCTCGTTCCCCTGTTGCCCTCTGCTGCCTCTGCTGCTGCTGTCGACCTCGTTGGCACCGAGTCGATCGGCACTGTGTCTGCTCCTAGTGGGAGGCGCCGCAATGGCGAGGGCAAGGGGGACAAGGGTGCTGGAGGAGACGGCGGGGGCGGCGCTGGTGGCGGTGGAGGCGGTGGATCACCCTCTACTACCTAGTCACACGGCTCCCTGACAGCCTTCGCTCGGTCAAGGACCACTTCCTCTCTCTTTGCCCCACCACACTCACCGTTGACCTCCTCGAGGAGCGCCTCCTTGCAGCCGAGGAGAGTATCACCGCTGTAGAAGCCTCTCGTGGTGACCCTCGTACCCCTTTCTTTGAGGGGTGCTCCCCCGTTCCCCTATTGCCCTGTGTTGCCTCTGCTGCTGTTGTCGACCTCGTTGGCACCGAGTCGGTCGGCACTGCGTCTGCTCCTAGTGGGAGGCGCCGCAACGGCAAGGGCAAGGGGGACAAGGGTGTTGGAGGAGACGGCGGGGGCGGCGTTGGTGGCGGTGGAGGCGGTGGAGGGGGTGGGGGTGGAGGTGGGAGTGGTGGCAGGGGTGGGGGCTTCGTTGGCAGCGGTGGAGGTGGAGGCGGCGGCGGCGGCGGTGGCGGTGGGGGTGGAGGCGGCGGTGGCAGCGGCGGTGGCGGCGGCGGCGATGGGACTGGTCCAGGTGGCACTGTGCAGCGTGGAGGCTTTTGTGGTGGCCAGCGCCAGCAGCAGCAGCGTTCTCGTAAGATCCCCTCGCCCCAGCGCTGCTTCTGCCGCCTGACTGACGCCTAGCGTAATCAGTTTCCTGACTCCTCTGAGATCCCTCGCTGGGGTGATTTGCTGAAGTCGGGTGTTGCTATCTTTGATCTTGACTTTAATGCTATTCTTGCTACCATGTATGTTGTGACTATTAGTGCTGAGGGTGATTGTTACCTGTGTGTTCCGCCTGGCCCGAGCAAACGAGCTGCTGCTCTAGGCGCTAGTGAGTCCGCTGCTCCAGATGCTAGTGGGTCTGCTGTCCCAGGTGCTGGTGAGTCTTCTCTTTCAGGTACCGAGTCGGCTCAGGTCTTGCACACCTTCACCCTTGACTCGGGTGCTTCCCGCTCCTTCTTTCGCAATTGCACCACTCTCATGCCGCTCATTCGGCCAGTGGCAGCCTCCGTGGCTGACCCCTCTGGGGATCCGGTCCTTGCTCACTCCTCCACGATCCTGCCGTGTCCGGCGGTCCCCTCTGGCTCCCTGTCGGGCCTCTACCTCCCCTCGTTCTCCACGAACTTGGTGAGTGGAGCTGATCTTCAGGATGCGTGGGTTGACCAGTTCACTCCAGGCGGTCAGAGGGTGAACCACAGTTCGTATACTCGGACAGGCCAGCACCTGGCCACGTTCGCCCGTCAGCCAGGGTCGAGCCTGTACACCCTGTCCACTGTGCCTCCTCCGGTTGCTGCGTCTGGTCAGGTAGCTGCGTCGGGTCAGGTGTTTGCTGCGGTGTACCGGTCTTGTCCTCAGTCTGCCCCCTGCTCGTGTCGCCTCCTGTCGCACCAGACACTCCTCTGGCACCACCGCCTTGGTCAACCCTCCCTTCCTCGTCTTCGAGGCATGGCCTCTCGTGTCCTTGTCAGTGGTTTGCCCCGGTCACTCCCTCCCCTTCCTCCGGGGCTTGCCCCTACCAGCGTTCCCCGCGTCGAGGGGCGGCAACGCGCCGCTCCTCACTCCTCCGAGTTCCCTCCGACGGAGGCTCCCCTGCAGACTCTCCACATAGACGAATGGGGCCCAACCCGCATCCGTGGACAGGGTCACGAGCGTTACTTCCTACTGGTGGTTGACGACTACTCGCGTTACACCACAGTCTTCCCCTTGCGCCGCAAGGGTGAGGTCACTGAGGTGTTGATCGACTGGATCCGCGCTGCCCGTCTCCAGCTCAGAGAGAGTTTCGACTCAGACTTTCCTGTTCTGCGTCTGCACTCCGACGAGGGTGGAGAGTTTTCCTCCGCCCTTCCGCGAGCCTTCTATCGTGCGGAGGGCATCCGCCAAACGTTCACGCTTACGGCCTCTCCACAGCAAAATGGGATTGCTGAGCGCCGCATTGGCATGGTCATGGACGTCGCTCGTACGTCCATGATCCATGCGGCTGCTCCCCATTTTCTGTAGCTGTTCGCGGTTCAGTACGCGGCGCATCAGATCAACCTTCAGCCCCGTGTCTCCATGCCGGAGACCTCCCCTACTCTGCGGTGGACGAGGAAGGTTGGCGATGCGTCTGCATTCCGTGTCTGGGGATCATTAGCTTTCGTCCGCGACTTGTTTGCGGAAAGCTGTCCTCCCGTGCTGTTCCTTGCGTCTTCCTTGGCTTCCCCCCTGACGCGCCTGGCTGGCAGTTTTACCACCCCACCTTGCGCCGTGTTCTGTCCTCTCAGGACGTCACGTTTGACGAGTCGGTTCCCTACTACCGTCTCTTCCCCTACCGCACTACCTCCCTCCCCCCCCCCGCGCCAGGTCCTCCCCCGGTAGACCCCCTCGCCCCTCAGGGTCCTAGCCCCTCTGGTGTGTCCCAGGTCAATGCAGTCGAGCCCGTCAATGTAGCTGTTGACTCTCGTGCCGTTGGGGGTGCTGAGCCTGCGTGTGCCGGGTCTGGGGGTGCTGAGCCTGGGGGTGATGAGTCTGGGGGTGTTGAGCCTGGGGTTGATGAGTCTTGGAGTGCGGAGCATGAGGGTGCTGGGCCTACGCGTATGGAGTCTGGAGGTGTTGCGCCCGGAGGTCCCTTGGGCGTTTTGTCCTAGCAAGATCCACTTTCTCCACAGCACCTGCGCGAGTGGTTTGCTCGCCGCTGGAGCCGTGCTGCTGGTGTGAAAAGGATAGAACGAGGAATGACTGAACTAGCAAGGAGATGGGTACAAGTGAGAAAACCTAGCAGTGTTGTACCCCATATAGTCTACCCCACTACAACCTACACAAACTTTGTCATATATGTTTGACACACCCCCATAGGCAAAGTGGGGGAGAACAAGAGGTCACAAGACCAGTCAAGCAAAGCAAGGCAAGCTCAGGGTGGATCACAACGTCACCACACAATCTGAGCACAAACACAAGGCCACAAGGCTAGTTCACATGCAGAGTTACACATCAAGGTGAAAAAGCAAGACGAGCGGGTAGACCGCCACAAAACAGAGCCGCAACCAAGGCTGAAGGTGTAACCCTGTGACGACCACTACGTAGCCAGGTCGTCAACCCAAGACGCGTCTGCGTGACCAGTGAGGACCACTGGACTCCGCCCTCCAAACACAGCCCCTAGGCCCGACGTACCGCACAAGTAGCGCAACACCCTCTTCGCTGCAACCCCCCACCCGAAGGACCTGCTACATCATGTGTGACTGAGTCAGGGTAATGGTGTGCCGTGCTCTGTCCCAGGAGATCTGCAAGCCAAGATAGCTGCGCAGTTCACCCAGGTCAATGCACGTGTGTCTCTTATGCAGCTCGGACTTCACGTGGGCGAGTCCAACAATGTAGCAGGAGGAAACGACTTAGTGAAGCCAGGTGGGCGACGCAGCCAGATCTCCTCGTGCAAGCAGCCCTGTAGGAAAGCAGTGCTGAATTAAAGAGAGTGAAGCTCGTAGTCGCGCTGAGCGGTTATGTGCAGCAGCACCCAAAGAGTGGTCATCTTCGGGGTGGGAGACAAGGTCTGAAAGTAGTCAACTCCCTGCCGCTGACTGAAGCCTCGAGCCACGTAACGTGCCTTGAAGACATCCCAAGACCCGGCACCCGCACGCTTAGCACCCCTAGCAGCACCAGAGTCAACAGCTACCTCGACAGGCTCGACCGCGTCTACCTGGGACACAACTAAGGGGGCAGGACCCTGAGGGGGTAGGGGGTCTACCGGGGGGGGACCTGGCGCGAGAAAGAGCGGCGGAGGGGGGAGGGGGGCAGTGCGGTAGGGGAAGAGACGGTAGTAAGGAACCGACCTGTCAAACGTGACGTCCTGGGAGGACTGAACACGGTGCGAGGTGGGGTGGTAAAACTGCTAACTAGGCGCGTCAGGGGTGAAGCCAAGGAAGACGTAGGGAACAGCACGGGAGGACAGCTTGTCTGCAGACAAGTCGCGGACGAAAGCTCGAGATCCCCAGACACGGAACGCAGACGCAACGCCAACCTTCCCAGTCCACCGCAGAGTAGGGGAGGTCTCCGGCAGAGAGACCCGGGGCTGAAGGTTGATCTGATGCAACGCGTACTGAACCAAGAACGGCCATAGAAAATGGGGAGCAGCCGCATGGATCACGGACGTACGCGCGACGTCCATGACCATGCCAATGCGGCGCTCAGCAATCCCATTTATTTGTGGAGAGGCCAGAAGCGTGAACGTCTGGTGGATGCCCTCTGCACGACAGAAGGCTTGCAGAAGGTCGGAGGAAAACTCCCCTCCTCTGTCGGAGTGCAGACGCATAACAGGAAAGTCTGAGCCGAAACTCTCTCAGAGCTGGAGACGGGCAGCGCGGATCCAGTCGATCAACACCTCATTGACCTCACCCTTGCGGCGCAAGGGGAATACTGTGGTGTAACGCGAATAGTGGTCAACCACCAGCAGGAAGTAATGCTCGTGACCCTGTCCATGGACGCGGGCTGGGCCCCACACGTCCATATGGAGAGTCTGCAGCGGAGCCTCTGTCGGAGGAAACTCGGAGGAGTGAGGAGCGGTGCGCTGCCGCCCCTCGACGCAGGGAACGCAGGTAAGGGCAGGCCCCGGGGGAAGGGGAGGGAGGGACTGGGGGAGACCAGAGACAAGGACACGGGAGGCCATGCCTCAGAGACGAGGCAGGGAGGGGTGTACAAGGCGGTGGTGCCAGAGGAGAGTCTGGTGAGACAGGAGACGACACGAGCAGGGGGCAGACTCAGGACCAGACCTGGACGCTGCAGCAAACACCTGACCCGACGCAGCTACCTGACCTGACGCCGTAAGCGGAGGAGACTCGGTAGTCAGTATGTACAGGCTCGACCCCGGCTGACGGGTAAACGTGGCCAAGTATCAGCCCGTCCGAGCACACGTGCAGTGGGTCCCTCGCTGACTCGCAGGAGTAAACTGGTCAACCCCCCCATCCTGCAGGTCAGCACCACTCACCAAGTTTGTAGAGAACGAGGGGAGGTAAAGACCTGACAGGGAGCCAGAAAGGGTCGCCGGACACGGTAGGACAGTGTAGTAGT